TATGGGCCACAGACCACTACCGTCCATGGCCTTTTGGCCACCAGGCCATGTGAATGTCTGGTCAGTGAGCATGCATGTGCATATGCATTTACCACCCCTACTTATGTTAGTGTCACTGTGAAGGTTGTGCATATGCTCACACCTTGTTTGTGTCGCAAGCGTGCTCGCGGCCCCTTTTGGAAAAGTCAGCATCATCTTGATTCAATCTAGACAGTTCAACTACTCTATCTAGACATGCTGTTGATAGTTACACCCACTTTCAGCCATGGGACCATGCATATATTTTAGTCTAGCCCAGGGGTAGGCAATCTTGGCTCTTTTATGATTCTTCAACTTCAACTCCCAGAATTCCTGAGGCAGCATGGGGGAACTATGGCCCCTTCATGATTTGTGGACTTCAACTCCCAGAATTCCTGAGCCAGCATGGGGGAACTATGGCCCCTTCATGACTTGTGGACTTCAACTCCCAGAATTCCTGAGCCAGCATGACTCATCTTGGAAACCTCTCCCTTTTCCCTCAGCATGACTGGCTCGGGAATTCTGGGAGTTGAAGTCCACACGTCATAAAAGAGCCAAGGTTGCCTGCTCCTGGTCTAGCCTATATCACAGAGATGTTCTGGGAGAAATATAGAAGAAACAGAGTTATGGGCAGCATCTTAAGGAAAGGTGGAATAAAAATAATCAAAATAATTATCATCATCCTTATCATATGTTGGTGTAGCTATTGTCATTGTCACCACTAAGTCTGCTCTCATCATATGCAGAGTAGTTATAGCTTTCTGAGAAAAATGAGATCTAGTGGCCCTTTAGATATAAAAAAAAGATTATTATTCCCTACTTATTATTGGATTATTATTATTCCAACTTGCATAGTTATTTGGATTAAATTTATCTCGTCAAATTAGAGGGACATATCTGCAGATTTTGAACAATTATGCCTTCAACAATGTAGCATTTTGTGATTAAAAGTACCTGGGCTAATGTTATAAAAGTCATGTTATATATTATTATATCAACATTTTATAGACAACCTTTTAGTGCCATCTAGTGGATGGATTAAAAATTATAATACAAAACAACTGGAAGCTGAAAGAAAAGGAAACATATATTCATACTTGGATAACTACAAAGAAATTTAAGAAAAGGAAAGAAGGAAGTATTGAAAGAAAAAATAATCAGGTCCAGTTCCAAACCAGGAGTGAATAAAATGGAAGCTAACATGCTGGAAATAAAAATAGAGGCTGCTTAGAAAGCAGGTTCCAGTTTATTGAAGAGCAGAACTTGCAACAGCATGCAGTTCTGGGACAGCTGACCAAATGGAGTTGAGAGTGGGTGGATCTTTACAGGGTTCTGTTTGAGATGCCCCAGGGGATTGTGCAATGTAATGAGTCTTGTGCCTTTCGCTATTGTAATGGTGGTGGGTTAATCCTATTTTGTCCTGAAGATCATGTCTTACCCTTGGAGTCTTTGTTTTTCTAATCCCCTCAGTTCCAGCCTTCCTGCCCCCAGGCTTCCTGAATGGATTACCAAATCTGCATTTCTAAAGAGCTGGCCTGCTCAGTTTTTGCTTGGGACAACTTGGGCTGGTTTCTCCCCTAAGATATTTCTCCGTTATTCTTTTGGGAAATATAATATTCTGCCTTTTTTAATATCCCCCCCAAATTACCTTCTGTGGGACGGGGTATGGGTGCTGATTTTGAAGGAAGGAAGGAAGGAAGGAAGGAAAAAAGAAAGGAAGGAAGGAAGGAAGGAGGGAGGGAGGGAGGAAAGAAGGAAAAAAGGAAAAAGGAAAGAAAGAAACAAAGAAAGAAAGAAAGAAAGGAAAGGAGGGAGGAAGGAAGGAAGGAGAAAGGAAAGAAAAAGAAAAAAGGAAAGAAAGAAGGAAGGAAGGAAAAAGGAATGAAAGAAGAAATGGAAGGAAGGAAGGAAGGAAGGAAGGAAGGAAGGAAGGAAGGAAGGAAGGAGGGAGGGAGGGAGGAAGGGAGGAAGGAGGAAGGAAGGAAAAAGAAAAAAGGAAAGAAAAAAGAAAGGAAAAAGGAATGAAAGAAAGAAGGTATAGAAAGGAGGAAGGAAGGAAGGAAGGAAGGAAAGAAAGAAAGAAAGAAAGAAAGAAAGAAAGAAAGAAAGAAAGAAAGAAAGGAGGGAGGGAGGGAGGAAGGAAGGAGAAAGGAAGGAAAAAGAAAAAAAGGAAAGAAGGAAGGAAGGAAAAAGGAATGAAAGAGGGAATAGAAGGAAGGAAGGAAGGAAGGGAGGGAGGGAGGGAGGAAGGAAGGAAAGGAGGAAGGAAAAGAAAGAAGAGAGGGAGGGAGGGAGGAAGGGAGGGAGGGAGGAAGGAGAAAAGGAAGAAAGGAAGGAAGGAAGACATGTTGTTGTATATCAACATGGGATGGATGCTATCATTTAGTGAAGAGTGTACTTTGTTTTGGGTTAATGCTATCACTTTTGCCAGGGAACAACCAAGGTTTTGGGGTTATAAAATCAAAATGGTGGTTGCAGCTGTCCCGTTCACTTGTTTTATATTCCTCCCTAGACTCCCCAAGCCAATTCCCACAGCATTTGGGCTTATTATTTAGCCAGAAGTCTGTGGTTAATTGTATGAATCTGTCTTTGTCTATTTCCCAATTTTTCTATCCTCTCCTTATCTTTCCAGGATATTGTATTGGATTTAAAGTTTAATTTTCAAACCAATAAATTCCCTTATTCTACTTGTATGCAAAATCACATTAACTAAGTTCCTGTTTGCATGAACATTAACAATAGATGTGCCGTGTTTTCAAATTTGTAGAAAGGTAAAATAGATCTCCCTGAATTGACAGCACTGATGAAATTGGGTTTGTGTTTGTATGTGTGTTGTGTCTAGCAGTTTTAGCTATTTTCATACTACCTGAAAGATTTGATACTGTTATGTGTCCTGTTACCGAAATGTGTTTGGTTTTATACCTTTGTCCCGTTTATTTTATGTAAGATCTACTCAATCAATGCTTCAATCAGAATAGAGCTGGAAGGGACTTTGGAGATCTTCTAGTCCAACCCTCTGCTCAAGACATGTGGCTGTCCAGTCTTTTCTTAAACATCTCCAGTGATGAAGCACCTATAACTTCTGAAGGCAAAGCTGTTCCATTGGTTAATTGTCCTCACTGTTAGGAAGTTTCTCCTTAATTCCAGGTTGCTTTTCTCCTTGATCAGCTTCCATCCATTGTTTCTTATCTTGTACTCCATTCTTAGCCTTTATTCCTGCTTTCTCTTCAACTCCCATTCATTTTTCAAGTGAAAATGTTGTCACTATGCCGATTTTCTAAGTGCTGTCCAAGATTTTTTTGTTTATTATGGAATGTACCAGGACAATAATGACTGGGATCACCATTGCTGGTTTATCCCCTAATCTTTCAACTTCAGTTTTCAGATCTTGATACTTCACACTCTTTTCCAATTCTTTGTCTTCTATTCTGCTACTTTAAATTACATTTTATTTAGACAAGTTTATTGTTCATGGATTAAAAACTACATAGAATAACAGAGTTGGAAGGGACCTTGGAGGTCTTCTTATCTAACCTTCTACTCAGGCAGGAGACCCTATACCATTTCAGACAAGTGGCTGTCCAATCTCTTCTAAAAAGCCTCCCGTGATGAAGCACCCACAACTTTTGAAGGCAAGATGTTTTACTGGTTGATTGTTCTCACTGTTAGGAAGTTTCTTCTTAATTCAAGGTTGCATCTCTCCTTGGTTTGTTTCCATCCATTGTTTCTTGTCCTGCCCTTTGGAAAATAAGTTGATTCCTTCTTCTTTGGAATACTGGAATACTGCTATCATGTCACCCTAGACCTTCTTTTCTCTAGACTAGCCAAGTCCAAATCCTGCAACCATTCTTAATAAGTTTTAGCCTCCAGTCCCCTGATCATCTTTGTTGCTCTTCTCTGCACTCTTTTCAGTGTCTCAACATCTTTGTTATATTGTAGTGACCAAAATTGGATGTGGAATTCCAAGTGTGGTCTTAACTAAGGCTTTGTAAAACAGTACTAATACTTCATGCGATCTTGATTCTGTCCCTCTATTGATGTGGATATGTTTGACCAAAATCTCTTTGCCTTAAATTAAAATTAAATACAATTAACATGATGCCTCTCCAGTCACCTTGTTAATGTTTTTTCCTTTATTGCCAGACTGAACATCAGATTTTGCTAAAAACCTCTGGGTATTTCTACAGACACCTAAGGCCTTCACAGATATCACAATATCTACCAGATATGTCACTTCAGTTTCATCATGAAAATTATGCTTCTCCTATCTGACTTTGCCCAAAGATTCACTATTCTACTTAAAAGAGGTCAAACTAAAAAACATTCATTTTCCTCTCACTGTATCTCCTGTTTTTTTTTTTCTTTATTACCCAAATCCCCTGCATAGCTAATGTCCCTGGGAGTGTCTTAACCTTTGAAATCTTTCAAGTTATTTTCCAGGGCTGTTATTTCTTAGTGCTATCTATGAAATACTACCTGGACAAAGCGTTATTATTCTGCCATCCCAGGCAGAAGTTGTATCTTAATTATAATTAGCCAACTGAGATCCTGAGGTTCATTAAAAAATGAACTTTCTATCTTCAGGGAACTCTCTGTCTTCAGATAACCTTTTTTCGCATTGCTATTTACTTTCCCTCTGTGTGAAGTGGATACCTTTGAGGATGACTTCTGAACTATGGCAAATGCATAAATAAATCTTTACCTGTTTCAGTCTAAGGGTGGGGAAGGAAATTTCAATGAACTCACTAATTTGTACATTGAATTTGGAATTCTAGGCAGATGAGAACGTGGTCATGCAGCTTGTAACTCTCTCACACACACCCACACGCACAAAATAATAATCCTGTCCGAAATGTAAACAATAATGTCTAAACTGAGCAAGTTATGTGTGCCCGCTTGAGGGAAAATGCACTTGAAATGCATATTTTACAGGAGAAACAAATACCTTAAATTTTAATGTTGGGGTATTGGTTTTCTTTCAGACAGTGAAAGCGAAAGTGTCAGAAAAAGTTGCTGTTGGAAAGATGCAAGATTGCTTCATGCTTCTTCTCTGGACTCAGCAAGATTATTTCTTCAATATAGTATTGGAGAAAAATCAACTATTTCTATGAAACCATCCAAGTGTGTTCACCCTCTGGGGAAGAAGAAATGAGTTCTATTAATCTGATGCTCAGATCTCTCTTCCCATTTTCACCTGGGATTCCAAGTCCAGGAAAGAAATGATTGGTATACCAGGTACACCTGTACAGAGATCTTCCTGGCTCCAGAGGCAACTGGACTATTGAGGAGGCAACTGGACTTTGGTGACCATAACCTGGATGAGAATCTCCATGGACACAGGCAAGCCAGGAATAGTCTTGCATGCATAGAGGTAGTCCTTGAGTTAGGACAGGAATTTCCAACATAAGTCATTGCGGACGTATGTTGAGTCACACTTGATTTTATGACAATTTTATGGTGGTTGTTCAGTGAATCCAGCTTCCCAATGGGTGGTTTTTGCTGGAAATCAACAACAAAGTTTGCAAATCGCAATCACTTGACTGCAGGAGACTGCAACTGGTTGTAAATGCAAGCCTACTGACAAAAACCCAAATTGTGATCATGTGACTAAGGGATGGTACCACAGTCGTTAAGAAATTATACATCACTTTTCCGAAGCCATCCTAACTTCAAACTGTTGTTACACAATGACAAGTTGAGGACTACCTGTATATCCTGTGAGGTAAGGATGGAAAAATTTCTGACACCACAGGTATCATGAATTTACAATCACTATCTCTTGTCAGGGTTGAATCTCAGCTGCTCCTGCCCATCCAGCTTTCCACAGCATCACTGGAGTGATCCATCCAAGGAACTGAAAGCATCAACCTACAGTTAAGAAAAGTTCTGTTTGTGACCAAGAGTTGAGACTGACTCAAAGACAAAGTAATTATCTCTACAAAGACAAAGTAATTATCCTCCATGTTGAGGGAGGATATCACTCTCTAGCTTCATGAAGATATGGAAAAGGAGGGGTGAGAAGATATGAAACAGGAGTGGACTTCAGGTTCAACATTCTCCCACTTATCAGCCATCTGGAATGGAGAAAGAGAGAATCACTATAAGATGATGTCTCCACTCCTAATTCCCACAGCCAGTCCAAAGAATAACCTGATGGCACTGAAAATTGCTGAGAGATTAAGGAGAACCAGAGATTAAGAATAAGCAGAATGGTGGCACCACCCCAATCCCATCATGTCTCTATACCATCTCCTGGCTTGACACTGACTGAAATGGGTCTAGATCAAGGGTAGGCAACCTTCGCTCTTTTATGACTCGTGGACTTCAACTCCCAGAATTCCTGAGCCAGCATGGCTCAGCTTGGAAACCTCTCCCTTTCCCCTCAGCATGGCTGGCTCAGGAATTCTGGGAGTTGAAGTCCAAGAGTCGTAAAAGAGCCAAGGTTGCCTACCCCTTGTCTAGATAATATATTTTTTCTGAAGTTATGACCCAATCATCTTCTCAGAAAAGCTTCCAGAAAATTTTCCAGCAATAGTTTCTTACGGACTATTGTATCCATCCCCCTTTAAGACAAGCAATATATCTCCAAAAGATATACTAAGACAATCAGAAGAAATCAGGAGGGGTATGAATCTAATAATTAGGTTGACAAGTTAAACATCCCCAAGGATCTTGTCCATTTCCTCAGGAGTCACAGGATCAAACACTTCTAAATCACAATACTTGACTGTGCAACTTTATCTATCAGACAGAAGATTTCTTACACTGATATTCTCACATAGAGAACAGATCACCCCTGTATGGCCATTGACCAATTATTTGCAGATGTAGCAAGAGTAGAAAAACAGCTCCAATTTGCCAGTCCTTACTGCCATAATGTAATCCTTAATGGTGACTCTAATATAGGCTGAAACTGTCACCATATCTGGAGAGAGGGGCAAAATCAATTAGGGTCTGCAGTTAGTTAGCCCTGGGCAGAATAGGTCCCACTTCCCTGCAATGGGAAGGAAAGGACACCAGAATGTGATCTGACCATGGTAAAAGGTTGACAGCAATATTTCAACTTTCCAATCTCCTCATAATTGCACTGAGACAAAAGATAAACCTAGTGTGTAACTACTAGTGTAAGTTGCACCTTCAATAATTGGAAAAAAGACCATAATTATCATATACTACTACTAATACTAATACTACTACTACTAATAATAATAGTAATAATAATAATAATGTTGGAAGGGACCTTGGAGGTCATCTAATCCAATTCCCTGCTCAGGCAGGAAATCCTATACCATTTCAGACAAATGGCCGTCCAGTCTCTTCTTAAAAACTTCCACTGTTGGAGCATTCACTGCTTCTGGAGGCAGGTTGTTCCACTGGTTAATTGTTCTAGCTGTCAGGAAGTTTCTCCTTAGTTCTAGGTTTCTTCCCTCCTTGATTAGTTTCAATCGGTTGCTTCTTGTCCTGCTTTCGGGCACTTTGGAGAGTAGCTTGATTCTCTCTTCTTTGTGGCAGCCCTGAGATATTGGAACACTACTATCATGTCCCCCCTCCTCCTTCTCTTCGTTAAACTAGACATACCCAGTTCCAGCAACCATTCCTTATATGTTTTAGCCTCCAGACCTCTAATCCTCTTTGTTGCTCTTCTCTGCACTCTTTCTAGAGTCTCAACATCTTTTTTACATCGTGTGACCAAAACTGGATGCAGTATTCCAAGTGTGGCCTTACTGTTGTTCAGTTGCTAAGTCATGTCCAACTCTTTGCCATCCCATCCATCATAGTGTGCCAGGCCCCTCTGTCTCCACTATCTCCTGGAATTTGCTCAAATTAATGTTCATTGCCTCAATGACACTATCTAACCATCTCCTCCTCTGCCATTCCATTCTCCTTTTGCCTTCCCAGGAATTCATGATCACCATGTTAGTTATTCCTGTCTATCAGTGATAATCATCACAATATTTGATAATCACCTGACTCCAGAAATATCAACCTTGGAGTTTCCGGGCCAATGTCCGAGTCCTAAAGCTCAAACAAAGAAGTCATTGGACAATGATATAGCAGAAATTAAAAGCAATTTCTTACTAGAGACCAATATCAACCCCAGGTTCTCACATCCTATTATCAGCAGGGAGGTGTCTTTAAAAGCCATTAAACAGGGTGTCCTACATAGGCAACTTTAAGACTTGTGGACTTCAACTCCCAGAATTCCTCCTCTCTGACTGGAGAATTCTGGAGTAGAAGTCCACAAGTCTTAAAGTTGCCAAGGTTGGACACTCTGAGTTAAAGGCTTCCCAGATATCAACTGCTACCTTAACCATCTGCCCTGGTTTTATAGCTAGTAGTATACTGAAAATGGAGATTGACTCATTTGCAAGAATAGTCCACCTCTTCACTTCCCACGGACAGTTCTGTAGGTTCTCAGATGTATATCTGCATATGCAACTTCTTGTGTAATAAAAACCAAGCCCTCCAATCTTCTCCATTAACTGCTCCCTCCATCATAAAACAAGAGGTCTTCTACCTCCCATTAGCCTGGAGTCTTCTATGGTGAGCTGTCTCAAGGAAAGCGATCTCACAGGGGACAAAAGAAGTGATACAAAGACACGTTGAAAGCCTCTCTTAAGTCCCTGGATATTAACACCATCTCTTGGGAACTTCTGGCGCATGATCAATCGACATGGCGCACCTTGGTGTACCAGGGTTGCCAGACATATGAACACAGAAGGACAATCTTGGCACAAGAGAAGCGAACACTCTGCAAAGCCAGAGCTGTAAATGCTGAAATAACAATGTCTACATTTCTTTGTTCAGCATGTGGCAGAACATTCCGTGCTAACATTGGTCTTATTAGCCACCTACGGACACATCATTGATGGCCCATAACCCACAAGATGTCAAGGTCTTCATCGAAATCGATGGACAAACAACAACACAACACAAGCCTGGAGCAGAAAGAGAATTGGATAAAGTTGCTTTTCCTATACTGAAAACTGGAAGGACAAATGAGAAGAACATGGAAACAAGGAAACACGTTCTCCAAAAAGCGAACAGTTAAGTTTTATCACAACCCAGAGCCTTTTGCGATCATTTTACACAAACTGAGCCTTAAAACAAACTTGCTGGAACTGCCAGTGACAAACACGGAGTATTAAGGCTGTTCACTGACATGGAGTTTTATTAGATATTCTTTGGAGAGCTTTTATCCAAAGAACGTTTTAATAAATGTAATATTATATGGGTAATCCAGGTAGTATTCTACAGAGAAGGGCAGAATATTACTGTCCTGGGTAGACTTCACTTTATAATGGACACGTCATTACTGGCTAGAAAGAGATAGCAAAATGTTACTGTTCGCTGTTTCCAGTTTTGCAAAAGCAAATAATTCTTTATTCCCAAAGTTTATGAATTGAAACCAAGTAGCACAAACCCTTTCAACACACAATTGCCTTTGGACTCTGGCATACAGTGGGAAACTTTCCTTCCACAGCAAAAATCCTGCAAAAAGATATCTGAGAATTAGCTTTGATCCTGGATGAAAATATGATCTTGCCAAGTTGACTCACCAAACGTTTAATCTTCTGCCTTTGGCAAAATCATTTTAATTATGGCAAAAATTCATAAACCTATTTATTTATCCTCATTTCAATTTCATTGGTTTTTATACTGATGTTTTATTTTAGAATGTTTTTTATGGGTTTTATAAAGCCTTGGGATAGTCTTTTAATGAAGGACTGGTACAAAAATAATTTTAATGAAAAGAGAACATCTGTTATCAAGTCAAGGTAAGTTCTTGGCAACTACACAGAGACTCTTTAGGTCTGTGCAAAACTATATCCAGAAATCAATCTCTCTCTCTATCTCTATCTATCTATCTATCTATCTATCTATCTATCTATCTATCTATCTATCTATCTATCTATCTATCTATCTATCTATCTATATCTCTATCTATCTATCTATCTATCTATCTATCTGTGTATCTAATCATCTATCTATCTATCTATCTATCTATCTATCTATATCTATCTATCTAATCATCTATCTATCTAATCATCTATCTATCTATCTATCTAATCATCTATCTATCTATCTATCTATCTAATCATCTATCTATCTAATCATCTATCTATCTATCTATCTATCTAATCATCTATCTATCTATCTATATCTCTATCTATCTATCTATCTATCTATCTAATCATCTATCTATCTATCTATCTATCTATCTATCTATCTATCTGTGTATCTAATCATCTATCTATCTATCTATCTATCTATATCTATCTATCTAATCATCTATCTATCTAATCATCTATCTATCTATCTAATCATCTATCTATCTATCTATCTAATCATCTATCTATCTAATCATCTATCTATCTATCTATCTATCTATCTAATCATCTATCTATCTATCTATATCTATATCTATCTATCTATCTATCTATCTATCTATCTATCTATCTATCTATCTAATCATCTATCTATCTATCTATCTATCTATCTATCTATCTATCTATCTATCTCCTTCCTTCCTTCCTTCCTTCCTTCCTTCCTTCCTTCCTTCCTTCCTTCCCCAACCTCCTCCTCCTTCGGACCTTTTCTTGGTATTATTATTTAACTAATAACAAAGCAATTTGAATCTTTTGCTCAATGCTTGTAGAAATGGTTTTATTCCACAAGAGGTCAGAATTGTACTTTGTTAAACATGCAAGCTGACTTTTTAGCAGGATTAATATCCTTCCTTCTACCAGCAAATGAACTTGAATGTATCTAAAGCATTTAGAACTCGAACTTCTACTTAGAGATGGAGCTACAAAAATATTTAATAGACAGTGATCCAGAAAAATTGTTCACATTCTCAGTGAAAACATAATACTTTGGTATGCAGTTGCCCAGAGCAACTGAAGGGTGTTTTGAAGATTTTCTGGTAATAGAAATTAATTTTATCATTGTTGCAGCACTATTGTTGGTAAATAAAATGAAGAAGGTTATGCTTTCAACAAGACTTTTTTCCCCCATATTCTGAATAACATTGTTGCTGAATAACACATACAGTATATGGCCTGAAGGAGCAAAAGACATTATTTTCTCCAAAGTATTTTTGCCTTCTGAAATATTTTCCTTGTATACCTAATTGATTTTCCATTGTTATTCATGTTATATGCCCAAGCTTCAGACAATTTTTGATAAAACAAATAATACATATTTGTAAATGTAAAAGTCTGTGGAATGGAATAATGAGAAGATCTTCTAAAGGGAAAAATGCTCTGTTGAACAATAACAGATTTTTTTTTTAATACAAAGGTATGTCAAGGATAAAAGTGGAATTAACTTGAAGAAAGATTGTGATGTATTTGAATCCTGTTAATTGCTGCTTACTC